GAACACTTTTTCTCTGTCCTCCAACTTGTCTCTCATATAGATGGCATCTACATCTTGGCTATCAACAGGAGTGTAAGCTTCTTTAGGGCACCAATCTTTACAGAAACATCTCTAGTTGCCCCATACACTCCTTTCAGAAGTTAATTCATCGTGTCTTTCTCTGCGATCTCTCTTAAATTATGGTCTCCTATCCTAATGCAATCTTTGAGTTGTCATTCAATCCACTATATTGCTTCTTTAAAATTAATAATAAGAAAGTCACTGTGTACAAGATGCCCCTGCTTTGTTTTTTTTTTAAATAAAATAGGTAGTAAGAGTTCTGTATTAAAAGATATAACAACAGTAATAATGACAATTTGAGCGCTTATAAAGTGTGGGGCATTACATGAAGGGCTTTGAGAGCATTAATCTGGCCACACACTCTAAGTGGTAGTGTCAATATTATATTCATTTTGCAAATGAGAAATTGAAGTTTGGATGAGGTCCACCACTTATCTAAGGCTATTCCACTAAAAAAACTTAGGGGGGACTTCAAGTTAGTCTGCCTAACTTCAAAGCCCACACTCTCAACCCTGTGGATATACTGTTTCTTCAGGCTTCTCTCATCCAAGAGCATCTGGAGAGAAATGTCATATCTACAGAATACTGCATTTTATTCATTTTTCAGTACACCTATAAACATCTATTCAATAAATATTCATTGGGCATCTACTATGTATCATGCAGCCTTCTAAGCACTGGAGGTATAGTAAGAATATCTAAACAACTATACATTCATAAACCGATGTGTTTTTTTTTTTTTTTTTTTGAGAACTAGAATTCACTAGGTACCACAAATTTGGATTTCTCTGGTGATTTAAGGGAAGAACCCCAGGTATCTTGTTTTCTGATGTTTACTCTGTAGGGAAGTCTCTCTGGAGCCAATTTTGCATGTTCTATATGGAGGCTAAGTTGAAAGGACCCTTGCCAAGGAGTTGTTGCTTATTTCTACCTCTGCTGCTGATTGAAAAATGACTTTTCCCTCTCTTTTTCCTGCAGACTTCAATTACAAATCCTAAGTGCCAAGATTTGAAGGGAATAAAAAAATATGAGACAACAACCATAGCAAGAAAGAGAACATTTTCATGGTCATGATTTCTTTGGGGCATTGGGGGTACAGCATTTTCCCTTGTAAAGAGGGAGTCCCAGCCAGGTGACACATACTCAACAGTGGTTAGGGGTGCCTCTGTAATCAAGGAACCCATTTGCCAAAAAATGTCTAAGTGTTCTTTTCTTCCCTGTTACCTTGACCAGGCAGCATTCTCCTCCCAGGGACACCGTGGCCTTAAATAATTGGGTGATGCTTTCTATATCCTGTAATAAATGTGTCCTGGATGGGTGACTATGTTTTTCTCTACCCCCTACTCCAGGCTGTTAGCGGTAATCTCTCCTCCAAGAAATCAAGGTGTAAGCTCCGTTTACATTTCTGTATCTCTTTCTCTTTTAAAGAGAGGATTCTTGGTGTGCAGAGGACACTATGTTTGTGATGGAGTATGCACTGGTCACTGGTTATGCTTTTCATGATGTCTTCTGTGGCTCACTCATGTACGTACACATACTGTGCATCTTGAATTTGTCAGCCAGGTGGCTTCACTCCCAACACAACCCTTTCCATTCGGATGGGGTGAACTGTCATTGTCCATTACGCCAAAGTGCTCTTCATCATCATTAATTAATATTCTCTTCCCAGAGGGAGGATATCGTCCAAAGCTGTCATATCGCCTCTCATCATCCACACCACACAAATACACTAGGAATCACGCGTCTCAGACACACTCGTCACATCACTTTTGCTTTGGCCACCATCAGGCAGGAATGCAGTCCTCTGTTACCCATTCCTCATGATGCCACTGGAACATATGTGCTATTTAGAAATGACAAGAGTTTTAGGACACCTATTTCTGGGCCTCTCTTACCCAAACGCACCCACCAGACAATATTGGGGGACACACATAGACACTGCTGAACTCATCTCTAACTGTGGGCCCAGAACATGGTTCAGAAAGTGCTGAATAAGTCCAGGGCCATCAACTGCTGCTTCTGTCTACAGTGAACTTCCCCCAGACCATTTTCTTCTTCTAGTCTGGTTTCTTCCACTATTAGGCAAAGTCTAACACTATTCAGTCTCCATTTCAGTGTCCTTCAATTTTGGTGCTATTACTTGCCTACAACCAAACACAAGTGCCAATACTGTTCTTTCTAGGGAGACACGATATTTTGTAGTTGAGAGCTGGCATACTTTGGGGTTTGGATCCTAACTCTGCCACTTACCAGTTTTGTAATCTTGGAAAAGTGACCACACTCTCTCTGTCTCCATTTACTTAGGTTTGAAATAGGAATGATTATAGTTCCTACACCATGAAGTTAATACAAAGATTGAACGAGGTGATTATGCAAAGACCTTTCCACAGTGCCTAACACATAATGGCACCCCAACATTGTTACTTATTTTTATTATGAACTTTCATCAACAAAAATAATTTTCTAGCATCTTTGTTCTGGAGCCAACTTTACTCTCTCTCATCTCTTGACTCTTCTGAATGGGGTCCATGTTCAATGACCAACTAATATACCGAGGGAAAATTTCAGTAACGAAATCACATGAGGTCCCCTGAGACTTTGCCTTCCAACACTTCCCTATCCCATCACATACACAACTCGGGTTCTAGCATTGAGAGTGCAGCGCTTGTAGCCAGGTTTCAGTGCATGTGTGAACAAAATGACTGCTTTTAATGAGAACTGTGCTTCCTTCTGCATTTCTCACAAAGATGCATCAACAATACAGACCTTTGATACACAGACCCATCCAGACACACATGCATTATATAGCTCGCCTACGCTAAAATAGCTTAAAGAGTGCACAGCACAGGAACGGCAGGTAACTGGCATGCAAAGGCATACAAAGAATACCATTCTCCTGTCACCCACAAATCCGAGCAGACGTGCACTCCACGTATTCTGTCTCGGTCACCCCCACCTCATGCGTTTCTCATCTCTGCTCCTTATTAATTCATTTATGGATTTTCTTGCTTTTCACTTATCTCTAAGCACTCATCATTCGTTGCAATTCTACTGGGAAATTCATACTGGATAGCTTTCAGCTTCCTGCTAGCCAGAACAATCAGATTTAAGGGAATATTTGTGCCAGGTTCCGTGTCAGCCAATATTCTTTCTATCTAGGTAATCAGCAGATACGGCACTGCTGGTCTGATCACATCAATTTCAATTCAAGTTGCTGTGAACTGTCAGGCTAATAAAGCAAAGACTCCTCTTCCCAGACCCAGGATGCAGGACACTTTTACATAATGCGTCACACCACTGCTCAAAGTGATGATAATAGGAGCCAGCAGTTTCTCTACAGATAGTCAACCACAAGAGAGACACAAAGGGGAAACACAAGAATTAGCAAAAAATAATGGTTTGCCATGTCCAGAGGTTACCCTGTTTCCTCTTCTTATCCTGTACCAGTTACCTGCTTGCGTTTAGAAAACCATTCATGAAAACAATTGCAAATAATCAAACCCCAAACCAAACTCACTGGCGTCCAGTCGATTCCAACTCATAGCGACCCTATAGCACAGAGTGGAACTGCTCCATAAGGGCTCCAAGGCTGTATTCGAACCATTGACCTTTCGGTTATCAGCTGCACCGTTTAACCACTGCACCACTAGGGCTCCTTCTGTTGCAAATAATAGGATAATGCAAAGCCATGCCTGTCCAAATCTGTCATCTTTTCCATCATCAAGGGACCAGTTAAAATGGTCTCTCTTTCTGGCAGAAAACAAAATTTATCCAGATAAACCATTCCATATTGATTTGAAAAGAGGAAAGAATATAATCACGAGGGTGAGAAATGCAACGTGAAGATAAGAAAACGGTTTAGGGAGACCAAGGACAGAAGCCAAGCCCAGGAAAGAAAACTGCATGATTAAGCTGGGAGGGCTGCTTTGATTTCCCACCAAACAGACCCTGAGAGTAAGATATTTCCATTGTAAGTGATGGATCAAGACACAAAAAAGCATGGCATTTCAACAACACGTACGTAACGTTTAATGTTTATAAGACATTTACAAATGCGGCAAGAAATGTGAAAATTTACACTTGTTTATAAAAAGACAACTAGCTGGTGTGAGAGGATGTCATATGGCCAGTCTATAATTGCAATATGGGAAGAAGTAGAACTCCAAAATACTGAGACTGTCTTGGACATTTAACAACATGAGTGGATTTTAGGACTATAAGAACAGAAAATTGTATTGGTGCTTAAGCACATCAAAAAATAATATTAATGATGCCATCTACAGTTTGTTGAGCTTGCTGTATTTCAGGCCCTATACTCAGTACTTTACAAGGATTAGTTCCTTTAATTCTTAAAGAAATTCTGTCAAGTTGGCTCTGTGTTTATCCTCATTTTTTAAATAAGGTAACTAAGGCTCAAAAGTTAGTGGATTTGTCTCACAGGTACATATAAAGTGGCACTGCTAGGATTTGAACCCAGGTGGCCGGATTCTAAAATCTATACTCTAAATCACAATTTTATCCAGCACAAATTTGAAACTAAATCACCAGTATATGTAAATGTTTTCCAGGATACACATTCAGTTTGAGACTGAGACATATTATAGATGCTATATTTATCTGAAACATGGGCAGGAGAGGAAGTAAAGAAAACTTGTGAATGTGTGGAAAAGTTTGCAGCACAGTTTTCTAAATATATACACACAGACTATATCCTATGCTAGTCTGCTATGATTTCCATTACAAATACTGGGGCTCTAAATTGGGCATACAGTTTATTAACATGCTGCTATACATACAGAGATATTTAGAGACTAGAAGAAGATTCCCGAGAACTCCCAAAGGAAAAGAAAGGTAGATAGCATTGGAAGGAATTACAATGCTAGGTTAAAATTTCTTAAGTGAAACTGGTTTCCTTCTTTGACATATATAATTCCTTTGCATCTCATTATACAAACAACCTCTTGACTCCCTGAACTTATCCTCAACTAAACTTTCATATCATTATGATTGTGCACATTTGAATCGGTTTCAGATTTTTTTGGATGGAATATAGATATATAATTGCACTTCTCCAAATTCTGAATATAGTTTCCAATGGCTCATTATAACCCATTATAAACTCGTGATAGCTCAGGATAAGACTGACAAATGGCTAAAATCCATCCCAAAATAGCAGCTTGCTTTCTACATTAACTGTGCCTGAAACAGCAATTAAAGCATTGGTGTTTGTGATGAAATCTGACTGATCCAACATACATGACTTTATTTGAATCTTGGTCTTTTCGAGCAACAAGGGGCCATAGCGGACTGAGGGAAGCCTGATAAGTTCGGATATTTTCCTGATTTAGGAAAATACCTTATCTTACTCACTGGCAGTGAGCCAGGAGGAAGTAACCTACTTAGAAAAGTCTTCAAGTCCAAGGGGAGTGTCTTCTGATGCAATGCAAGGATGCCCCCTTCATTCACTCTTCAGAGGGAGATAAGGGGGTGCTGCTTACGACCGCTGTTGGCCCTTCAAGACTATGTTTAAATTTCTTACTCAGCTCACTCTTGTTCAAACCCTTTCATTGTTTGACTGACTCCCCATATCCTCCAGGGCTTCACGGCCAAAAAATATCCCTCCAGGGATATTTTTTGGATTACAAATTAACTAACACATATGTTCTGCAAATTCCTCTGTCTCAAAAGTGAAATGAGGCTACATAAGGAAGCACTATTAGAATAATCCAGGAATCAGCCATGGCTAGGTCTTCATTGGCCAATCTAGGCGTTGCTGTGGCTCAGGACCACAAATCCCTCAGTGACATACCTCATAAAGATCTATCATGACGTTGCCCTCAGGGCCTCTGCTGCTCTGGACATTTTCCAAAGCCAGGGTGAAGTAGACACCATGGGTATCTGAGATATAGAGGTTGTATGTGTCATTCTGGTTCCATTCTTGGACAGCTGCAAATACCTGATTCTCATCGGTGCTGATGACATGCATGTCCTGAAGAAAGACATGGGAAAAGGAAGAGGGAAGAAGATTTTTATAAGCTAGCCAGTAGGTGCCCAGAGTACGGAATATACGGAGAAATATACCAGATAGACACTGTAACAGAAGACAGAGGTCTTCCTTTTACACATGTGCAAAATAATAATCGCTTACCTGTTAATCATATACTGCCTTTGTCATTTGTGGGTTTAGGCAGTATGGTAATGAGAAAATAGGACAGAGGGATGCTTGGTAGTTCAGTTATAATTTAACTGCCTCATTAGATAATTTATAGAACACTTTCTCGACTATGTATAACTTTGGAGAATCTACCATCCTGATGTATTTGCCAAGCACAAACATGGTACTTGCTCAGAAGGTTTATATGGGGCAAATATGAGAAACAGCTGAAAGAGGATCAAGAGAAAAGAGACAAGCCTTCAATCTCTTGGTGTGGTCCATGGGCCAGCAGCATGGGCATCACTTGCAAGCTTGTTTGACATGCATAACCTCAGGCCCCACCTACTGAATCAAAATCTGCATTTTAATAAGCTCCTTTGGTGATTAATATGCACATTTAAGTTTGAGAAGCACTGTCCTAAGGCTCAGCAACCCCTGGTCCCTGAAGAAAACATTCACCTGAGAACCCCAAAGCACCAAGCTCTACATTAATGAGGGTGCAAGGACTTAGCTTTTTATCTCAACCTTTACTCTGAGAGGTTCTGCAGGAAGCCTCAGTGAAAGAGGGAAGAAAATAGTCTGCATAACTGATGATGTTTTCATACCCTGGTTTTCCAGGAGACATAAACAAGGCAAAGGCAATATGGAGGCAGTGAGCAGCTATGGGAATTCCAAAGCCTTTCTTCTCCCCATTCAGTATGAGAGACTGTGGATACAGTGAGGAGGCTGACGCAGATCAATGCTTGCTGTCTCCTTCAGGAGACACCTGTTCACATGCTCCTGGCAGCCTTTCACCCTAGCCCAGGGCAGTAGACATGGTATAGCTTTCAAAAAAACAAATATCAAACAAAGTAAAAACAAAAACAAAGAACAATTGCATGTAAGCACAAAGGCAGAAGAATGTGGAAAGATTCTTGGCCTTTGTGTAGCTCAGTACTCAGATCTTCCAAGATGGACCATACTCTATCTATGAAAAGCTCCAGGAGATCTGTCAATCTTTCTTTTTCTTTTTTTTTTGGGGGGGGGGTTCCTCCATTTTATTTATTTTTTAATTTTTTTAATTGTTGTAATTAAATGAAGTTTAC